GGCGGTCCTCACTCCCAGAGTCTGCTCTCAACAAGTACAAACAGCACAAGACAATTTGCCAATGTAATCTACCTTACACCCGTCGGCACTTCCTCCAGGTTGAGTGGAGGGGAAGGCCATCTGTTTGGATCACCAGGTCCAGTGGCTTGGTTTAGAGGTGGGGGGGGGGGGGGGGGGGGGGGGGGGGGGGGGGGGGGGGGGACAACGCAGCATCCTGCCCTGCCTCCTATCCTCCTTATCCATCTACTTCCCTGAAGTTGCTGTCAGCTTCGGCCACAACAAGGAGCTAAAGGACCCATTGTGACGGGGTGTGGCACACTCACAATCCTCACCCTCATCTCCAAAGGTCCCACAGGAGCCATGCCCTGGGTTCACATGGCCATGTGCTCTGCTGAGCCCTGCTCAGGTTATTTTGGTCACCAACTCTCTGCTTTGTCTCCAACAACCACCTCTCCTTGACCCCAACTCTCCTGGGACCCAAGCTCTTCCGCCTCCAGGTTTGCCCCTTTCCCCACCCCAAAGCCAAAGATTCTTAGAGGATGATCCTGGCTCTAGCTCCAGATTCCAGGCAGGGATGGCATTTCCCTGTGATCACCTGACACTTCGTCCTTATGGAAACAATGTGGTCCAAAGACTAGGGCCTCTCCCCACCCCAGATCTAAACTCTGATCTCGTGTGCCTCTAAATGTCTTGTTCTGAGGCCCCAGTCTCTCTTCTCATACTCATCCTGCCTCCACAACGGCTTCTCCTAGGATCTCCCTGAACTATCCCAAGAGTCACAGACATTGGTCTCGTAGTCCGCAAGAGCTGGGCACCCACCTGTGGCACCCTTCCTCGCTTGCAACCAGCTCCCAAAGCCTGAGATCAGGCTTTCCAAGAAGAGACTCCCTTGGTCCCCCAACGCAAGTACGCAGCATTCTTAAACAAGTCCCTTTTCTAGACCTCTGTTTCCTTCTGTGTAGAGGAAAATGGACTAGCCAATCCTCAATTGCCCTGCAGTTTCAATGGCCTATGGTCCTGTGATCTGTTCACACCCCACTAAAAAACCTACCGTCTCATCAAATAGTGTTGATTTGTGCACATTGTATTTATGAATGATGACTGAAACATATACATATTATCAAGACTCGAGCCCCACATAATCCCAGTAAATAATTCTCAGAGACCTTGTCTAGGAAAGCAAAAAGGTGGGGCCTATTGGAGAGGTCAGAGGCTGCCCTCTCGATACCTTCTCACGCCTCTGTTCCCAAGCACATGAAACTCCAGAATGAGACCCTTGCCTTGATTTTAATCAAGCGACCTGGCAGCCCAGGTAGGCTCATCTGTAGGGACCAGAAAGGGTTGGAGGCCAGACGGCCATGGCCATGGCGGTGTGCAGCAGAAGGGGAAGCAACAGCAAGCAGGTGAAGGGGATTTCTGAAATCCGATGCTACCATGCAAATGAGGTCAGCCTCGCATGCAAATGGACAAAGTCAAGTTGAGATGGTCAGGGTGGGAGGCCAACAGGCTGGATCTGAAGCCCCAGCAGGAGATGGGGGCTTCCTCTGGAGAAAGCAGGACTGCCTGGGGAGGGGCCCCCCCATATGCCCACCCAGCAGGGGCGGGGATTAAGGTCGGATGCCCTGCTGTCAGGTCAGCGCTGATGGATCACCACGGATGGTGGAACACAAAGGCTGCTCTGTGCCTGGCACCAATGTGTTCCCGTCCATCAGAGGGCAGCTCGAGGGGTGCCGGGGTGTGGAGGAGAGGGACACCAAGGACTAGGCATGGCTCACAGGTTGGTGAGAGAACTAGGTGTCTAAGGAGCCACTGGGACTTTGAAAGATCAGAGAAACCTAAGTGATCCTACCACATCAGTCCCAAGAGCATCTTTGTCCCACAGTGGGGCTGGGCACGCTTGGGTCACCTTATTCAGACATACACAAAGACGTTTACGGACAAGGATTCCCAGGGACCTAGACACAACTCCCAGCATGCCCTCGCGTCCAGTGGTGTTTCCTGCACAGCCTTCGTCCCCACTCAAGGAGCAAAACAAAGTAGGCTGAACAGAGAAAGGAGAAAGAGAATAGATTTCTCCTCTGGGTTATGCTTGTCCTTTTTCTCGACTTCTCTCCTGTCACCCAGCACTTTCTGTCTTGGAAAGGTGAATGTGGGTACACCAATATCACTCAACTGTGACGCAGGGTGGCAGGTAGATGACATCTTAGTCATGTCACCCGGCACCCAGTGCTCAACACAGTCTCCTGACTGAAAGGATTCGGGGGAGGGTTCCCTCCCCTGGTCCTGATGCTGTGCTCCATATGGCTAAAGTGGATACCTGATTGGGAAGCACGAGACTAAGAGCAAGAGCGGGCACAGAAGCAGAGATATGGGAAGGACCAAGTAGGTCTTGTATTCACCGGGTGTTTTCAAGTGCTGGACACACACTCATCACACACACACACACACACACACACCTACTGACAGCTTGAAACATGTATGTTTTCCCAGTAAAATCCACCCTCCTGCCCAAGCCAATGGTTCAGTCCTTCATTGTCTTACTCCTGAACTACTGCTATGGGGTTTAGTAGTAATGTGATTTCCTTGTCTCAGTTTCCAAGTCCCTCCATGCCCAGCTGGGCCTCCTATATTTACAGGCTTGTTGTCAGCCACGCCCCCTCACCAGAACCCCGAGATCCACACAAACCAATCCATCTTCTCACCTCTTCGTGTCTTTATTCTGCTAGCTCCCCAAGACCTGATCCAGCACTTTTCCCCTCCTGAGCCCTCCACAAGGTTTAGCCTTCAGTGACTTTGCCATTTGTTTGCAAGTGATCCACGTTGTCTTTGTATGGTTTTATTTTTATTTTGTCTGAGACGGAGTCCCCCAACTAGCCCAGACTAGCCCAGAACTGGCAGTCCTCCTGCCTTGGCCTCTCCAAGTATGGAGTTAAAGGTGTATGCCACCACGGCCACCCGTCTCATTGGCTGTGGCATTACCAGCTTTGTAATGGAGCGTTCTCTAAGGGTCCAGGTTCTGCAGGTTCACCAGGGTCCTGCAAGCCGTCTAAGAACAAGTCCCTTCTGCTCCCAGTTCCAAGGAAGAAGACATTGTTTTGGGTTGGGTCAGATTGGGTCCCACAAGGACAAAAGACAGCATTTTTAGGTTTCAATGGCAACCGTGGCCCCTCCCCTCAACCTCCTTCTTCAGGGCTCACAGGACTGGAGTGCAAACTGAAGCAAGGTAAATTTTTGTTTCTTTTTTTTAAGGGGTGGAAAGTATGGTCTGGCCAAGTTTAGAACACACATACTGGGCTGCACTTTGTATCCATGAGTAAAGTCGCAAACTGAATTAAATGAATTAACGCCTCTCTCTGTGTCCCAATTTGCTGGGGGCTTTTATTGTCTAGCCTGTGCCCTTCCCACTTGTCCCCACCTTCAAAGGACAGCGGCGTTTTCTTGACTCTTCCCTGTGGCTTAAGGGAGGAGAGAAAGCTAGTCCTTTAAACCAAACCCCACGCAGCTCTCACCTCCACTAGGAAGTGAGTCCTCCCTGAGCCCCCACCACACATACCTCGATTTCCCCTTACTATCCTGACTGCTAGTCACAGGATGGCTCACACTTAGTGTGCAGGATCCTGAGGAAAATCCTGACCCATGGCTAAGAGTTTTTGAATTCCTAAAGCTACGGGTCAGTAGAACAGGCTGCTGCGTGACATCCTCAGGAAGAGGAGTCAGGAATCAAGAGGTGGGGTGGAAAGGTGGCCAGCAGCCCACAGCCCTTCTTAGAACTGTCCTCCCTGATCACCGATGCCTCCGCTGAGGTAACCACGAATGCAGCCGGAGATGAAATGGGAAGCCAAGCTCCCCCACCACGCCTGACATTCTAGAGTTGTATGATGCATTCAGAGATGGTGACTCGGGCAGGAAGGGATAGAAGAAGCCAGCCTGGCAGCCCAGCGGAGACACAAACAATACAAAGGACTATTCTTCTTACCACCCCATCTCCAGAGAGGAGTCAAGATGGTCCTAGAGTCAGAACAGGGCTGGAGCATCATTAAGGGGGAAAACATCAAGAGATGATTAAGAGTGACCTAGAGGGGAGACAGAAGACCAAATCGCTATTAACTGGGGGGAAAGATGACAATGCAGAGGCTGTGAGGTCTCATCCTCACTAGACACTGACTTCCCCTGGCCCCTACTACTTAAGAACCAACCCCCCTTACTTAAGAAGTCCTCAAGTTCGCTTGCCTCAATCTATGCCCAGCTACGTGAGACCTAAGAGAACACATAAGATCCAAATTTCTATGGAAACCCAACAATTGAACCAAATTGCCCTTCTGAGTTTCTTTATTCTGCCTCCATAGACCCTAAGTATTCACACACACACACACACACACACACACACACACACGCGCGCCCCAAATTTGGAGTGGTCCCGCTGTGGTGGGTGGTAAGCCTTTAGGGGTCCACGAGACTGGTGCAGTATGCTTTATGGTGCTCCCAAGCAGCAGAGAGTAGGCTAGATGGAGTCTGAGGGCCACTTCTAGCCCAAAGCCAACTCTTTCTTGTGTCCTCCTGTCCTGTCCACCAGCTGCCTTGGACCATGGAGGAGAGCAGGCAGGCGGCCGGGAGAGGAGTAATTGAAAGGAGCAGATGAGAAGGGGGAATACATCCACCCCCACCTTCCCTACCCCACAGGGGCTGTGGAGAAGGGAAAACTAATCAAATTACAGCCAACGGCCTCCCGACCCGAGCGAGCACAGGAGCCGCCTGGGCCAGGGGCAGGCAGGCAGGGTGGGGTGGGGGCGAAAGGAGAGGGAAGGGGAATCACTTGTAATCCACTGTAAACGTCTTGATGTGCAGCAACAGCTTAGAGGGGGGCTCAGGTTTCGGTGGCGTTGGCTATATTTATCTCTGGGTCCATGCCAGCAGGGAGGGTTTAAATGGCACCCAGCAGTTGGCGTGAGGGGCTGCAGGAGCTTGGGGGCCAGTGGCAGGAACAAGTCTTTTCCGACCCGATGGAGCTGTATGAGACATCCCCCTATTTCTACCAGGATCCCCACTTCTATGATGGGGAAAACTACCTGCCTGTCCACCTCCAGGGTTTCGAGCCCCCAGGCTATGAGCGGACTGAGCTCAGCTTGAGCCCGGAAGCCCGAGGGCCCCTGGAAGAAAAGGGACTGGGGACCCCTGAGCACTGTCCAGGCCAGTGCCTACCGTGGGCGTGTAAGGTGTGTAAGAGAAAATCGGTGTCTGTGGACCGGCGGAGGGCAGCCACACTGAGAGAGAAGCGCAGGCTCAAGAAAGTGAATGAGGCCTTCGAGGCCCTGAAGAGGAGCACCCTGCTCAACCCCAACCAGCGGCTGCCTAAGGTGGAGATCCTGCGCAGTGCCATTCAGTACATTGAGCGCCTACAGGCCTTGCTCAGTTCCCTCAACCAGGAGGAGCGAGATCTCCGCTACCGAGGCGGGGGCGGGCCCCAGCCGGTGGTAAGTGGCTGGTGCACCAGTCCCAGGGATAGGGCCAGAGGGAGGTGCCTGGTCAGCTTGGGCTGGAACAGGTGCAAAGCCAGGGCCCTAGGGAATCCCAGGACCCCTTTCATTGTCGGCTAGGCTTTCCCGAGACCTTCTGTGCTCATACTGCTTCCAGACCAGACAAAGGCAGTGGATAGTAAATACAGATGGGGGAGTGGAGGGTGGGGGGGGGGTGGACGGGCACAAGAGAGCAGAAGGGGGCCAGAAACAAGTCTGCGGTAAGGGCTTAGGAGAGCCCAGGTGAAGGTGAGGGCTGATTCCCATGATCGAGGCAGCATCTAAAAGGCCAAACCAAGTGGCCAAAGAAACCTGCTTTGTCCTGCTCAGAGGTCACCATAGTGAAGCATTGTGGCTTATCGCCGTTATCCTCAAAGTGAAGGCAAAATTTCCATCCTAGAAACCAGGAAAGACCTAGAAAGTAGGCTATCTGTGGAGAACATTCTCGGGTGGTAACCTACCCAGGAACCCAAGCAGAGAGCTGTACCTGAGGATGATTGTAGAATTGACCTTGGATCGTGGCCTTGTCTTGCAGGTGCACAGTGAATGCAACTCCCACAGCGCCTCCTGCAGTCCAGAGTGGGGCAGTGCACTGGAGTTCGGTCCCAACCCAGGAGGTAAGTGAATCCTGACCCTGGTAACCATGGCTCAAATCGCTTAGACCCTAACTAGGCTGGGCTAGTCCCTTACCTTATTCCATGTTCCAGTCACCTTCCTGTGGCTTCCTCGGGAAACTGCTGCCCTGAGGGCCCCAAACGGTGGGCTGGAAGCCCTGTACCTCCCTGTAGCCTTGACCAGCTGAGGAGTACTCACAGCCTCCAACAGCATTCAGGCCGGTGTCTGGTGGTTGACCTCAGGGAGAAGAGCCTGTCCCTGCCCCAGGGGTCCCTGGGAACTGCTGAGTCAGTGCTGCAAAACTGGGCCCGGTTCCCTAGGATATGCTATCCTGGCTTCTTCACCTTGGGATAGCCACTTCCAGAACCTAACTGCATCAGGGGATTTCAGAGAGAAAGTGCACACACAGAGAGCATGGGGTGTGCTGGAATGCTAGTGGCTGGGGGAACTCCTGACTCTCGCTCTCCTGTCCGTCTGGGAAAGCCTGTGCCATCTCAAGGGTCCCATGCCCCTTGCCCAGGAGACACTCCCGTCTTCTCCTTTCAGATCATCTGCTTGCAGCCGACCCTGCAGACGCCCACAACCTGCACTCCCTCACCTCCATCGTGGACAGCATCACAGTGGAGGACATGTCTGTTGCCTTCCCAGACGAAACCATGCCCAACTGAGTTTGTCTGCCAGGCTGGGTGTCCACGTTTGAGCCCCCAGGATGGTGTCAACGGCCACCACTTCTGCTGCAGGGGCCTTTCAAGCGAGGCTGTCCTGGTGCCAAGAAAACAGCCCCAGGTTGCCACAGGCCAGACTACCCACTCCCCATTAGTAAAAGGCTAACCCCCAGCCCAGCAAGGGAATGGATGCCCTTTTAGCTGACTCCTTAGAGCAGAGGATATCCCCTTCCAAGCAAAGAAAGATGGAGTCCAGAGAACCCTCTTGTGGATGTTCCCCAATGGGGCAAACTCAGGAGCTTTTTTAAAAAAAATCATAATATGTCTCTAATTCCACCCCCAAATGAGAGCCTGAGACAGCGCCCCGATCTGGACAAGCATGAACACCCGTTCTGATCTCTCCCTGATGCCAGGGGCTGGGCTGGGCCTGCCCTGAGTTGAGAGAGAAGGGAGAGGAACTACCCTGTTCCCAAGTCCCTGGGGGCCAAGCTTTTGCAGTGGATATTGGGAACCTTCCAGTGGTTTGTGTATTGTTTTGTTTTGTGTGTTGTTTGTAAAGCTGCCATCTGACCAAGGTCTCCTGTGCTAATATTGCCAGGGACAGGCAGGGAAGGGGGTGGGGGCTCTTGGGGCAACTTCTTTTGTTAAACTAAGCATTGTGTGTGGTTTTGCCAATTTTTTTTTTTTTGTAATCCTTTTGCTAACTTATTTGGATTTTCTTTTTTTAAAAAATGAATAAAGACTGGTTGCTAGAAAAGTGTCTGCAATGATGTATCGGGAGGGGAGACACTGACAACACTGGGTCCATATGCACAAGGCATGAAGGGGGGACTACTCGGGATGGGTTCCTGTGAATGGATCTGTGGTCCTGAACTGGTCATCAGACACAAGAGCCAGGCGCTGCACCGCTGGGAAAAAGACCGGATTCCTCAGAAATCCTGGGCACACCAAGGCAGAAGTACAAAGCACTCTATTGTACTTTATGTCAGACATCATTCACAGTCTGCTGTGTTCCAACTTACAGCCCAAGAGGTCCACTGAGCATGCTCACACTTTGTGCTCAGCCCACACGTAGGGTTAGGGGTGCAGAGCTGGGTTTGTGGGACTTTCCTCCCTCAGCCCTGTCTCTTCCCCCGGATCCACATAACCTTGAGCTCTACAGAGAAACAGGAGGTGGCTACACAGAGCAAATGGAGCCAGACACTGCCATGTCTTCATAGGACAAATAGCATGTCCCCTTACCGCCCTCTGCCCTTCCCTCCAAGCACAGGGATACTCCTGTCCTCACCTACAGCTCAAAGACAGGCGATTGTGCTGAGAGCTGAGAGACAAAGAACAAACCGGCGAAGCTATGATTCTAATCGTTCAGGAGGCTACTCTTTCAAAGACTGCCTTCCCTAGGGGAGACAGTTGGGTGGGAAAGTGAGAGCGAAGATCATAGCTGGAAACTGTGTACGGATTAACAGAGGTCAGGTCGGGCGGTGGTGGTGGCGCATGCCTTTAATCTCAGCACTGGGAAGGTAGAGGCAGGCGAATCTCTGTGAGTTCAAGGCCAGCCTGGTCTACAAGAGCTAGTTCCAGGACAGGCTTCAAAGCTACAGAGAAACCCTGTCTCGGGGGGTGGGGTGGGGGGACAGAGAAGGTGACAGGAACTAGAACGGGAAAGGACCAAGAACTCTGACTTCAACTTTACTAATTCCAGTTGTGTTGTGCCATTTGATTGGCTGACTGCAGATTGTTTCCTAACCATTTTGGACAGAGGATTCGATACATGGTACATCCCGGGCCCTCTACAGTTCTCTGGGACCCTTTGGCAACTGACATCAGCCAGTTTAAGAAAGCAGGCGCTGACAGTCATTCTACACTTGCTCAAGCTCAGATGGACCCCTCCCCAACTGCCTTCCCAACCTTGCCTGGACAGTATGAGGGAGACTCGGCAGAGCTTTGGGGAACTGGAGAGGGTGAGAAGGTAGAAAAGGTGGGTCCCATCAAAGTCTGTCTGCCTCGAATAAGTGATCATCCATCCTGGTTTATGTAATTTTCTTCTTTTTGAGTTCGTGTCATTGAATTAGTTTCCCAGGGAACCTGAAGAGGAATGTCTAAGTCTAGCCTTGATCTACTGTCCTTGGGATGAAATATGTGCCTGTGTTGTACCCCTACCTCTAGTCTAGTGTGCTCTCTTATAACCACAACACTCGACTGCGCAACCAAAAGGGACTCTCTGAGATTTGTGTCCTCTGTCCCAATGCCTCCCGGTGTTCTTAGGTGGGCACTGTCCCACTGACTTCAGCTGCAATGCATCTATCCCTAGTCCTCCCAGGCCCCTACAAGGGTCTAGTGCTAGCCAAGAGCAAGGGCATCAATGAATACCATAGAGTTCTCAGCTCCTGCGGTTGCTGGATATAGTGTTAAAGCCCATTCTTTTCAGTTACGCCAACTAGAAACAGATGCATATTCACACTTGAAAGAATGACCAGGTCGTTAGAATCAACAGAGCCCTGCACAGGCAGGTGTAACCATGGCTTGCAAGGCTTCAACTCACCACATGCCAGCACGGCCAGATGTGAATGACTAACCCTGCCATACAGGAGCCCAGAATATTTTCACAAAATTGATGTTATTAAGCGTAAGGGTTTCCTTAAATTAACAAATTCTCAACCTTCACAATAGAATTACAGATAACGCTCATGTTAATGAATAATGAGCTGGAGTTCTTTAGGGAAATTAACTTAAATTCCCTCAATCAGGGGAAGTAACTACGATAAATCAAACTGGGTTAATCAAATGTTGCCTGATAATGGACTTTAAGGAATACACAGAATGAAGAGGCAAGAATTACTTGAAACTGGCACGCCAGTGTGGATGTGGGCGCTTCCTGGTGTTTGGCTAATTATTATAAATTACAGGATGCTTGCAGCGCCATCTGTGCCCTCCAGCAAACATTCTCAGGTGTCTAACTTCCCGGAAAACCTTTTCACTGGTGGCTGCAGGTGTACTAGGTGGTTGGGGACAACTGGCGTGGAAGAACAATGGTAGGAGAGAGAGTCCCCTCAACTCGGGTGTCTGTTCCATGGATGAAAGGTCACCCTACTACCCCCTAACAAGTCATGTCCCATGCTCTTTAGTTTCCTGGTTTCAAAGGCTCAAGCTGGGGCACAGATGCCTAGGGGAGCCAGAGCACCACATAAGATTGGCCAAGGAGCCCAGTTCAGGCCTGAGAGGAACATATTCACCAGCCTTTGCTGACCTCCTCTCTGCACTCCCTTAACTATGGGTGAACACCCAGACCCAGACTCCTGGTCTCTCACTCTGTTTAGAACATTTCCAGAAACAGCAAAGGAAAACCTTCTGAGGACCCTTCCTTAAAAAGATTCTTCCCTGTTTTCTCCAAATGCTAAAGAAACACGATGGAAAAAAAAGCTGGGCGGTGGTGCACGCCTTTAATCCCAGGTAGATCTCTATGAGTTTGAGGCCAGCCTGCTTCCACAGCCAAGGCTACATGGAAGGAGGGAGGGAGGGAGAGAGGGGGGAGGGGGG